TGTCTTCGGCTTGTCTTCTACAACTTTCATTTCGTCACTAAAGCTTCTTCGTACATCTTCTCGGCAATACACTACTTTAGATTTGCATATATTGTAATATTCAAATTGATTCTAAAGTAAAAGAAACTGAACCATTTCTTTGTAATCTAGAATATAGAGTGTAGCTTCTGGAATAAGAAGATTTATGACTATTTGTGAGATTTAGGAAAGAAAGCGTTAGACAAAGGAGAGCAGTTGAAGTCGAAAGATTGGTCCTGGAGTCGAGGGTGAGTTCATTTGTTATAAAGCCTCTACAAAACGTATATAGTATTTCTTTATGAACTATATATTTAATATAATTTTGCATTCTACCAGTTATTATATTTCATCCGTCTATTTAATCCGTGCACTTGTATTGTGGGGTGTGGAACATACATAAGAGGATCAAGATTTTAGAACTTTTGCTAATTTTAGGTTGCTAAAGAAAAAGAAATGTTTCAAAATTTCGTTTGAAACATTTACGTTATCTTACGTGTTCATTATGATAAATAAATGTCATTCCAATCCACATTGCGGTTACACATTTAAGGTACCACCATCTAAAGCGTAAAATTCATTTACAAAGATGAGAAAGTTAAAATACTTTTTGAAGATAATAAGCGGTACATATTGGTACAACTATTTATCAATTAATCGTAAACTTTATTTAAAATAAGTCCGTAATATATTTCTAATAGTAAAATAAATAAGAAATAAAAATGCATGAGTAGACGTTATCTATTCATGCATTTTTATTGGTGGACTTCGAGCATGATTCGCTATTTGATACCTTTTTATTTATATAATTGTTAGTATTACCTAGCACCTAGGTACTTGTAATTGTTAAAACTAAAGTTTTATTGGTCTACTCAAAATCCACTATTCTACTAGTTAATGAAAATAGAAGAGTTGAAACACAGTGAACACCAAAGTTGAGATATTCGAATTCGTTCCTATCAAAATTGAAAATTAAAAGTTTATTTTTGTTAGTGCTTACTATTATGATCTATTATCTGTGAACCAAAGGTGCTTTTAATAATAATAAAATAAAAGAAAAAGGGCATCAAAGTGCGGTTATAGCTATGGAGAAACGTAACCGAAGGCAAAATTCATAATATCTTTATATGGATGCGTGCAAATGAAATTCTTACAACATATACCTGATTCTTTCCGTAAAGCTCAATGATACATTTATCTAAACATGTTAGAATATAAAAAATCACATTTTAGAGCGATTGGTTATCATTTATTGTTAATAGAAACGTTATTTCAATAAACAATAAGTGTTTTTAATTTGCTGCGTAATTATTGACAGGATCAAAATATTTACATACAATTTCCTAATAATTGACATATGTATAAAGTGCAATTGATTACGTACAAAAAAATTAACGAAATAGATATTCTTTGTGTCGTTATAACTATTCCAGCACGCCATATAATAATTCTATACTAATTATTTATTGGTTACGTCTTAGCTTAATGTGGTCTAGAGATGGACGTGGAATGACCCATCACTTTTGTGTCAATCCCGTCAGGAAAAGTATTCTATACCTTGTTTTCTTGAGAACCATCGTGCTACTGCATTCTAAAGCATTCACGTTTTACTTCCGCAGTCGTAATGAAAGCCTATAAAAAACCAGGGGTTCCGTATTTGATCTTACTAAAAATAGATGAAATCTCAATTAATATTTCATCTGCAAAATTTATGTTTTCTATTTTAAAATTTCATGAACATCAAATTGGCGTTGAGTGAAACATTCGGACAAATCTGTTATGACCTTATACGAAACGGAAAACCCTCTAATGAGATCTCAACAGATATTGTATTCATGGCCCCAAAGAATATGAGATCTTGGAAAAAATCTTATAATACTTTTTGAAAACAATACTAATTTGAAATCAACGAGATTCCAATTGAGATCTCATCTAACAAATTCATTAACACCTACGTTTGATTGTAGTTAAAAATTGTTTCAAACAGTATGACTATAGGTCTGACGCAAGTAAAACATCGTCCGAATATAATGTGGATAATTCATACACCAATGCACATTGCCATTATTTAGTGAGTCTTGAAAAATATAATTAATAATCTAAGAGCAGTTCGTTCTATGTTTGTCTAAGAACAGATCAGAATCGTCTTGCAGTCCAACGACCTAGTGGTTCTTCGAAAGCTAACGTCTGTCAACGAATATAGAAGCAAGCATCCATTTTCTTTTTTTGGAACTATAAGCTACCTGTCCTCTTCTCTCTACACAATTAGGCATTACAAGGAAATTGGAGTTTTGTCAAGTCCTTTATAAAGTGCATGTTTAATAATTAACCTCAGAGTTGACCCACAGCCGTCCGATTCGTGAGTAAGTACAAAAGAAACCTAATTTTGTCAATATCTTCCAAATTCGATTCTACTATCGAAACATCTACGTTTCGATCCGTACACAATGGCGTTACAGCGATGGACCATTTTGATTCATTATCTTAAATGGTACTTTATTATTTTTTTCAAGTTCAAATTACGCATAACGTTAGGAAACTCCAGCGCTCGAGCATGCGTATGTCTATTTCGCTGAATATTGTGGTTCAATCGATATCTTCGCTGATTGTCAGATTGCTGATTGGGCGCTGGTCCTGTACAATTTTACTTGCATTGATTTACTGCTGGTTAAATTTATGTTTTTATTTTTTAGTATGCTAGCAAAGACTAAACACATCTTGGCGTATTTTAAGTCCATATTTCAGTGAGCCCTGTAACAAAATGCTTTCGACGTCGATTGATGACAATCAGCCACATTGGGCATCAACATTTTTTCTGTTGTTTTCTCTTTTCCCTATTACGATTTCCGACCAGGCGAACGTAAGACAAATGTAGCAAGTATCGCTCAGACAAATGTTGAGAACTCAAGATTTCGTTTTTCTCGATCGAAAAAATAAACATTATGTGATTTTATTTTGCATACATGCGTTAATCTAACTAATAATAAAGTGGAACCAACTTACACCTATTAAAATGAGTTTATCCGCATTGAAATCGATATAACCGTTTTAGATATATGCGCGAACATGCATAAAAAAAATTCATGTCGAATACAGAACTTCCTCCCTTTTTCGAAGTTGACAAAAAGGAATATCTGGTATAAATATTAAAAGTTAAAACTGCCGTAGCATTCTTTCGCTAAGATGCAAGCCGAATTTTCATAAACTTTGGTTTGTATGAATTTTGCACTACAACTTCACGTTAATCATCAACTAATTATATTATTAGCATATAAAATTTTTAATTATTGAGATTGGAGTTTGAATCAGCAAAATTGGGTCAATTCTTGTTAAAGAGGTTGCCGTACTACTTCATTTTTTTTTTTGAGGTTGCGGGAACTAGTATTTTGTATTACGTATAAAATATTAAAAAATAAATTTAATGTAATAATATCGTTTGAAAACGGTGAATATGAGGATTGACTATTAAAACAGAGTAATTGTATGTTTAGTATATTGTACGCGGCAAATGTGACTTATACGCCGCCAAGCGTTTGTGTGCAGTGATAGTACGCACAAATATTCGTAAATCCTTATTGACAATTTATACGTGAAAAATATACTAATCGCAATTGTTTTATTTTCATTATTATTATAAAACAAGAAGAAAGTCGTATTTTTTTTCAGAGTGGAGACAAATATTTATAAAAATATATTCCTACATATACTTTTTGGTGTTTGCACTATTCTTTGTCTTAATATAATAGCAGTACTTTGGAAAATAGATTCTCGATTAACGGAGCGAAGTGAAGGTAAAATGATGGTACACGAAACGAGATTTCTTTTCATGAACATGTGCTTTTTCGTTGTGCAATCATAATAATAGCACAAAGTTACAACTTTACATGCTAGAAGTTCCGTTGTCGTGTAGTTAATGGATAGGCCATTTTATTTTATTTGTAATTAATTTTATATTACTGCATATTCAAAGATTCATTATATCAGTATAATTGACTATTGTTATAACATTACACAATTTCCAGTAATATTCAAGATCTAAGAATAAGTGGTTGATACAAGTTGAATAAATCCAATACATTATTTTCGGTAACACCAAAATGTAAAGACTTAAAGGTTTATGTTCTGAGAAATAAGGAATGGATTCAATTAATAATATAAATGTAGAAAATCTTTGTTAAAAACTCAAACAAACAATTATAAAACTCAAATGGCACACGTTGCAACATTTTGCTACATATAGTATAATATAGAGTACACGGCCTATTCCAAACACGGTTATTACTGTATATATACTTTACTTTAACTTACTCAAGGGGAAAAAGGGTGGTTATTTCATTTCCCGCTTTTCCGAAAGTCTACAATGACTGTCGTTAGGATAATCTATACTAACATACATATTATGTGCAAACACGTATTTGACAAAAATATATCAAAGGTTTTTTAAGCGTTATCACAGTAATTTGAAGACTTTCGACATAAGCGCACATCAGCGGTCGCCGTTGTAGTGTGGTGATAAAAGATGCTTATAATGATAATAAGCACACCTATATGTTTCATCTTTTCTCACATTCTACACAACCACGATACATCTAGATGTTAAACAACGATTGATTTATTCTCCTCGAAAATCTTGTTATACGCCTGACGTCCGATATCTTCTTACATAAAATTCCTTATACAATAGTTTACTTATGAAATCATTTGCCAGAAAAAAATGCCGATGAAAATGGAGGAAAAAGTTTTTGGCTCTTTCTGAACTTTGATATTTAGTTTTTGGAGTCAAGTTATCCTTCTCCAATATTTGACATACGCGAGAGTCGAAGAATTGGCCACGCCCTCAGCAACTCGTCAATAATACTTTAATAATGTTGATAAACATTTACAAAGTGTCGTATTAGATATAAGTACCAAATGATTCAGAAATTCTTATTATCGTTGTTAAGCCAAACATCAAAGAGCTATAAGATATTAGTTTACGCAAACTATATGGTCAGAGTCATGCTTATATACTCGCTTGCCAGCAACCATCCAAGTCACGCGATGAAAACATACAGCAACTATATACATAAGTCTGTATTGTGATTGTACATATGTTCGCGCTTGCGGACACTGCGAACTACTAGGTGTACTTTTATTTAGGAGGCGACTGATCTTAACCTCTAAACGATTGTCAGCAAAAAGTTTTTATTTCTGTAATTTAATTATAATTTGATTGTCTATTTTAAACTTTTTGACAAATGGAAGAAATCGAGGAGGGTCAGTTCAGCGATGCTGATGAAAATGACTTAAGGTAAGTTGATTTATAATTTTCTGAAACCAATATGAACCCCTGTTTATTTACCTCGTGTTATTTTTCGTATTATGAAATTTTTCTGTAAGCGTGAGCGCAAACTCTTCGAATAAAGTAATAACAACTAAAATTAAGTTTGTTGTTATTAATACAGTATGCATGATTTAATATTACTACTATTTCCATGCATTTAATATAATGCATGTTTCAGTACATTAAGCAAAAATGTGAAAAATATTACAATAAATTGTGAAAACTCTTGAAATACTAAATAAAATATTGAATAATCCAAGATTTCATAATTTGACCATTCCAATAAGATTAATGTGTTTTAATTTATTTATATATTCATAGACCAAACACACGAAAAGGTCAACCAATTTTTCATAACATATTACATGAGAAACTAATCAAAGTCAATTTAAATTCTGATGATGATGAACCTGATGATACTGATGATGAATATAAGTATGATTGGAATAGCAGAGATGAAGGAATTGGACAGAAACATAGATTCAAAGTCAATTCACAAACTAGAAATTTTCAAGGATGTTCTACCAAAGTTGCAACATTTCAGCCATCAGATAAATTATTTCAAAGATATGCAAATAAAATAAACATAGAAGATTATGAGTCATCTCTAAAACAAAATGTTACAAATGTTTTGAATGAAAAAACTAGAAGTATGGAAAATAATAGAATAAGAGTGAAAGATAAAAGTGATCGTGCTACTGCTGAACAAGTTATGGATCCTCGAACTAGAGCTATTTTAGCAAAAATGGTAAATAAGGGTATTATAGGTCAAATAAATGGTTGTATCTCAAGTGGAAAAGAAGCTAATGTTTATCATGCAAGATCCAAAAATGGAAAAGAATTTGCAATAAAAATCTACAAGACCTCCATATTAGTTTTCAAAGATAGAGATAAATATGTTACTGGAGAATTTCGTTTTCGACGTGGTTATTGTCGAAGTAATCCTAGAAAAATGGTTCGCACATGGGCTGAAAAAGAGATGCGAAATTTGAATCGCCTACAGCAAGCAGGAATCAAAGCACCAAAACCAATTATGTTGAAGAGTCATGTTCTACTGATGGATTTCATTGGTACCAAGGGTTGGCCATCTCCAAAATTAAAAGATGTCTTGTTAGAGCCTTCAGAACCTAGAAAACTTTACAGAGAATGTGTGGAAATCATGTGGAAACTTTATAATAAATGTAGATTGGTCCATGCTGATTTGAGTGAATATAATATTCTTTATCATGAAGAATCTCTTGTGATAATTGATGTATCCCAATCTGTTGAGCATGATCACCCAATGGCTTTTGAATTTTTAAGAAAAGATTGTACAAATATCACTGGTGAGTATTCATTGCTATGTTGATTTTCATATACCAATACAAACTTGTGCATTGATAAAACTTGACTAAAATATTTATAGAATTCTTCAAGAAGAATAAAGTGGCTGTGATGTCAGTTAAAGCCTTATTTGATTTTATTACTGATCCAACTGTAAATGAGAAAAATATTGATGAATATCTGGATAAAATGTCACAGATGATGGAAGGCCAATCTATTGAATTGAATCCAGAGCAGCAGATTGATGAAGAAGTATTCAAAAATGCTTACATACCACAGAGATTGGACAAGGTACATATTAATGATGTATATTTTTTTAAATTACTTTTGCATTTATAGCATTATGACTGTTTATAGGTAATAAATATTGAAAGAGATATTAAGTTGGCAAAATCTGGAAAACATGATCTTGTTTACAAAACATTAGTTGGATTAAAAGCAGATTTATCAGAGCCAGCTTTAGTTCCTGAAATTTTATCTGGAAAACCTCATGGTAAAAGAGTGAAATTTTATAAGAGAATTATTGAACCAAAATATGATGAATATGATTTAGAGACTAATGATGAAGATTCAGATGAGAGTATTTCAGATAATAGTTATGAAGGAATTGAAAGTAACAGTGGAGAGGAAGGTGAAAACGAAAAAGAATCTAAATTCGTAAATTCAGCTCGTCCTAAACACGAAACTAAAGAAGAAAAGAAGGTATATTCAGATCAGTAGACATTTCACATTTTTAAAATAATATGATCCTATTTTATTGTTATATTATTTTCATTATTGATTTTAATTATAGGCTAGGAAAAAAGCCTTGAAGGAAGTACGAGCACAAAATAGACAATTAAAAATGAAAAAACATACAAAGAAGCGGAAAACGAAAGCTTATAAGAAAAAATAAATGTTAAATGTGGCAAATGTAATTATTGTAATTAATTATGTATTTTATTTTTTCTGCTAGACAATTATGGCCAGATATCTGTAAATTTATACATTGGTATATTTTGATATTTGTGAATGAGAACGTATTTTGTCCTCATGTAGATATATCACACGAGAGTGAAATTGTTTGTTCTGCCGATTTATCGAATTCTAATTTTTGATATAAGTGCAAAATAAGTTTTTAATCGTAAATCAAATTTTTGTGAACGAGGTATAGATAAAATTAATAATCTATATAATGAACTGTACATTTTTACTCTAAAAATCGTTTTTAAGTAAATTAGTACTTTTTTCAAAATTAATATACGATTCGTCGTGACCATATGTACGCATATTCATGACTAATTCAGGCCGTCATAATATATTTGCGCAAAATATTTTTGAAATAATTAATGAAATCTGAAATGTTTTAATTGACACGTTAGTAAGAGTATGTGTTATAAAGAAAATCAGAATAATAATAATAATGGCCAAATAAACGTTCTTTGATAATTGTTTTAATTTATAGTCCTTTTCTTTACTCCTTTACTCAAACTATAAATTACAGTTATAAATATTTTACAATTTACATACTTTTTCAACTCACAGTATTTAACATTCAAAATTTTTTACTGTTAAATTGATCAGTTAAGCTGAGCTATTCACATACAAAATAATTTCAATGTATAATTGTATATTATAATTTATTTATTTTATTATTTTACTTCCGAACGAGAACAGACCGAACAAACTTGTGTTCGATTAACGATTGCAATAACTTTAATAGTGTTATACGCTTAGGAATAATCATTTGATCGATTTATATTAAACAGTATATGTTTATTTTCATTTAGCTTGCCCTAATCCCACACATTCTCACAATTTAGAGTCTCTTCTGGGATAAAGGCATTTTTTAGGCGCAGTCTTTGTCTGCAATAAAACGAAATTTCGTATTAGTATTTCAAAGACTTGGACAGTTTATTTCGGTTAGAATCCGAGTAGTGATAAGCAATAGGACATTTTTCGAGTGCTCTAGGCGAACTTAGAAATGCACTTTTGCAATTAGTGCAAATAATGCATTCTCGCTATTAACTAGTAAACAGTAATCACGGTTCAAAGGAAGTTAGAAAGATACTGATAGGGATGGGGGATGTGTACAGGTGCCGTAGATGAATACGTCATGCTTCGTGGTTTTTCAAGATCGTAATTAGCAGGACATATTCATTCGTCAATAGATTTTTGGCCAACTCTGGAGTGTGGCCAGGCTCGCAGACACCAAGGGCGGAGGAGAGAGAAAGCGTCTCAATGCTAATGTCAGAGTATGGGCTTTTATTAGCGCAAAGGTTACAGCGAGGGCGTCGAACGCCTGACAACTTGAAGGTGTCGGATGGTGCGCTGCTGCACCCGGCTCAAGCAAGCTGGACTTGCTTAGAAAAGCGGTGGCCGGAACACAGCAACTGTTGCTAGCTCGACGGTATCCTCCCTTCTGGCTTCTGTGAGGACCATCGCTCCTTTTATACACCTCTACCGGTGTGGTGTCGTCCCCATTTACGGCTTAGGCTCGAGCCTTCGCCGCAGCTCATACCTTAGGGCAGCTTAGGAGGGGCGGATTAACTTCGTCCTTCGCCCTAAACCGATTGTTTAAATCAAAGGCACTGGTCGCACCTTATGTCCAGATGATGGCACCGATCGGATACCAACCGTCACAGATTTATAACAGCAGAAATATACATATCTCACCATTAACAACAGAAAATAGGCATAAGCAGTTGTTGACTTTTGAGTGAAGTTTAGTTATTTAGTTTAGTCAAGTGGACGAAATTTTAATCAAACGTGTGGAATAACATTTTTTCCTACAAAACAAATCCATTGGAGGATTGAGATTGTATATCAAACCACTGACATAGAAGAATCGTTATTATTTAAAGCACTTGGATCATGACAAACGCGATACGATTCTTGAAAAATAGATATATCGAAAAATACGAGAATAAATTACACCAAAACAGAAAGAAATTCTTTCGGGATTATGGGAAAAGGAATACTATTCATATTTAGATAGTTTATTTAACACATATTGATGTATGAAAACAAAATTTTTTATTATGATTTTTGTAGAAAATGGCGGTGCTACAGCAGATCTGCGGAAAAAAATTTTTTTGAAAGTGCACCGCAGGCGCACCAATTCTTCGAAAACCGTGAGAGCTGGAACAAAAAAATAGCTATCGAAGTACATAGGATGTTTTATTTTATTCCAATTTTTTTAGAAACTGTACACTTCTGAACAAAACGTATGAATGTTCGACAAAAAAATAATAGTAAATTGTTAATAAAACAAGTAATTTTAAGAATGTCAAAAGACGGCTACGTACTTCGATGGAGAATATATTTATGAAGCTACTGTCAAAATTACAAGTCGATCCATGCAATGATATTGAAGCTATGAAAGCGCCAAGTTCGAAAAATTCCATTTCGAGAAAAACGCGTTTAAAGTTTTCGGAGCATTTAAATCCTTGAAATTTTTATATACCTCTAATTTGCGATGCCTGTACCATACATTTCGCTAATTTAAGAATGTCTGATCCCTCTTTGTCCTTTCTGGCTGATTTAAAGGATATCCGGGCCTCTCTGGCATTGTCTATTAAGGATCTTTCGAAAAACTTGATACGATGCCCGCCCGCCTTCACGCAAAAATTATAGCAGTTCGATTCGATTGTCAAGCCCAAGTATTGCATCAGCTTCATGACACTTGAAAAAATATCATTGTAGATACTTGTAACAATATATACTGAGGTATCGAGCACGTCTTTGCCACTGGAGAAATATTTAGGAGACACAGACCAGATAGTTACATTGAAACTTTCGTTGCTATTTTGTGTGAAGTCACCTAAACAACGCGTAAGCAGATACGCGACTTTTCTCAAACTCATGTTGCTTATTCGAAAATTTGTACAATAACAAAACACGTTATTAATATTTGAACGAAAATGTTCAGAAAGAAAATAAAGCGTCTGCACGGTGTTGCTTAGTAACTGTACTAGCTTACACACACACACCTCTTCTGAACTGGAGAATTGAACCTTTTGTTGGAATATTACATTACGATACAAGTGCGGGAAAATATATTCTTGTCTCGTGTGGCGTTTACGGCCGAGCGAAGCGAGGGTGGAAAGGTACACGAGACGAGAAACTCTTTCCCGAACATGTGCCGTACCGTATTTTTTGATACGACGTGTGGAAAGTGCGATTTTCAACGCATGTATTTTGCCGGGCGTGCGGGAAAAACGCACTTTCCGCACGGAATGTCGAAAACGTAATTCCACTAATCGACCTGTTTTTGAGATTAGGAACGAGGACGCAATTCCTAGCTGCGAAACATATGCGCGCGACGCCCAAATATGGATTTTCCCCAGCGCCGACGCGGTCGATTGTAGGGACCTTATAATGACAGACGTATTGGCCCATGTGCGCAGCGATTGCGCAAGACGATGCGATTGCGATTTGTACAACGATTACAGTTTAATTTCTCTCTCTCTCTCTCTCTCTCCCAAAATTATCCGTCGTCCCACACTTACCCCTCTATCGACCTATGGTTCATGAAATAGCTAATTGAATGGTTATTTTCTAGCCAAACTCACGTCGATCCACCTTTATACCTTTCCTCTTTTCAGACCGTCCTTCTGTAAAACAGGTGCCATTCGCGTCTTTACTACTCTTGCTACTTTTATTATTTTTTACTACTTTTAGTATTTTGTTGTTCTTATTATTTTTATTATTCTCTATTACCTTTATTGTCTTTATTATTTTAGTATTATTTTTCATCTTTTATTATTGTTAATTTTGTTGTTTTATCTGATAACTCATTTATATTGTTCTTTATATATTTTATTTTACTATATTTTACATATTTTATTCTATTTTTATTTTTACATATATACTCTTAGAGTTTACTGTTAATGCCATTGGAAATTCGCTGCTCACCGTATATACTACTCACGCATTTTCACGTAATTCATCTTTTTCAAATAGTTAAATGCGTTACTATTCATCCTTGTATCTCCTCTTTTTTCATGTTTAAATTTTGTTATTATTTTGTTATGTACATTTTCCAAACTGCCAGACGGGGTTCCACCTCAATGGCGCAATAAACGAACTAATCTAATTTAATCTCTCTCTCTCTCTCTCTCTTTCTCCTTCTCGACGTGTCTCGACCTATTAACGTGGTCGGGCGCATTAGACGTATCCGTTGCGATGAAGTCGCACTACCTTATTTGCATCGAGGGCTGAACCCTGGTAGCCATTCGACCTCACGGAGAGTAATTTACACCCGGGTAATGCAGGTTAGATATGTACGGAAAGGAGGGTTGATGAATCCTTCCTTGGACCGGTTGACTGGCGAGCTGAGAGGGTAGAGAGGGGGGAGAAGGGATAAGGGTAAAACACGCCCGGAAAAATATGTTACGCATGCGACTGGCTCTGAGCGATGCATTGCGATCGGGGGCTCGAAGAAACAGAGTAACACGTCAGTTTGGCTTGGCTTGCCGTTTAAGTAAGACCGAATATCCGCGAAAGTCTTTCTGTGTCATTAAGAACACGCTGATTTCTTGTAAACTTGTCTGTGAGGCTTTTCCCTCGATTTTGTTACGATATAAGTAAGCTCAATAAAGACAAAAAGATATAAATCAACTAGAAAAACTATTACTCCATTCCCTCACCCTCGCCCCTTTTAACACCTCTTTTAAATTTTATTTCTGCATAAACCTAATTGAATATGGTTTTTAAGGATCTAAACTATAGTTTAAGCCAAAAAAGAAATCGATTTTTTGAAAATCCTAGCGTGGTGTTACCTTTTAACTGAAGTTTTGATACGTTTTTATTATTTTAACTTGACAGGCTTTATGGTGTAAATAAGACTGTAACAATTCGTAGTGGAGTTGAGGAAAAAATTTCTTGAGCTTGTGCAGTATCTCTTTATGCCAAACCTTGTTAAAAGCCAGGGCGTGATCCAGAAATGTACCAGTGCAGTATTTTTTATCTTCGATGGTTTTTCTTGCAACAGATACCGTTCTGTTTACTTGCTCAATCATGACGTGGTTACACCTGAAACCGAATTAATGGTCAGGGATAAGTTTTCTATTTATTATTCTTTGGTTAATTCCAGCTAGGATTGGTTTTTCAAAGATTTTAGAAAGTGCTGATAAAAGGTTAATTGGTCTATGTGAAGTTACCGGTTCTGGTTCTTTATCGGGTTGAAAGGGGTGAGGTGAGCAGAAAATAATGGTATAAATTTTCATAGTTTTTTTTTTTTTTTATTTCGGTTTACAAGCATCAACTCCCGAGAGCAAGAATGAACGACTTGCGCGCTTGCTGGCTGGACCAACAGTGTTGGTTCTTTCATGCTCTGCCTCGCACGGCGGAATCCTTCCGCTAGAGGCGCTACAGGTCTTCGGCAGGAAATGTTGGGGAAACTAACAGATGATAAGATCTGCCAGCAGTCACACAT